TTTTTTTGGTTTTTCTCCGGTACCGGGAACCGAACTCACGACCTTGTGCTTGCCAGGCAGGCGCTTTGCCGCTGAGCTAAATCCCCAGCCCCTGCTGTAAGTTTTTGATATGTATCATTTATCAGCAAAAGGGCATCACCAGCATTTTTTTTTTTCCTGTACTAGGAATCAAAGTCAGGACCTTGGACTTGCCAGCCAGGTGCTTGTGCCACTGAGCTATATCCCTGGCCCATCACCACCAGCAGTTTTTAAATCATGAGTCTGTATGAATTTTATTCAATTCTTTTTCTGAATCTACTGAGACGTTTCAATATTTTTTCCCTTGTATGTTATAGCAGAGTGCAGAGGTGTGGCTTCAGACCTAAAGACTGATGTGTAACATGGTTATCTGAGAGCGCACACATTTTAAGTCTCAGCTTGGAGAATTACCATGAAGTGCAGACACTCATGCAGCCACTGCATATATCAAAGAGCTCGTCCCCAGCACCTGGAAGTTACTTGCGTGTCTCTCCACCAGAGAATCTACTAGCTGATTCCCAAAGCCTCCCGGTGGTTTTCCTTTTATATAAATGGAATCACCCAGTATGCATTGTTTTGTGCCTTGTTGTTTTCTGCCCAAAACCATGTTTGTATGAAATATATCACTGATGTTGCGTACAGAAGTGGGTTGGTTCATTTTTCATTGCTCTACTACTCCCCACTCTGCAAGTGTGCTCAAACTCGTGGAAAATTAATTGGGTTGTTTGTAGTTTTGACCCTTATGGAAAAGGAGGCTATAAACTTATATTTTCTGTCACAAGATACATGCCAGCATCTCTCTTAGGCATACATCTAGAAGGAGAATTATGGAATCATGGGTTATACACATGTTCAGCTGTGGAAGATACTGCTGAAAAAATTTCTGAACTGGTCGTAGAAATTTAAACATCCATGAACAGTTGCTTCATGTTCTTGTCAACAGATTAACAGTTCTGCTGGTGAGTTTGTTACAGTATTTCATTGTGGTTTTAATTGTCATTTTCCTGATTATTGATGAGTTTGAGCACATTGCTTGTATTTTCAGTCTATATATTTAAATTTTACAATATATTCTGATACCCATGTACAGGCTGTAATAACTGCTATAATCGAATAAAATAAGCATGTGCATCACCTCACATAATCACCTATTTTATGGTTAGAGCCCTTCAAATACACTCTCTTAGCAAACGTTTGATACACAATACCAATCTGCATCTTAGATTTCCTGATTTAATAACTGCAAGTTTGTGCCTTGGACCCATTGCTCCCATTCCCCTCCCACCCTGGGACCACTCCTCTGTTTTCTGTTCTGGTGAAGTTGAGTTTTACTAGATCCTACCCACAAGTGAGATCACACAGTATTTTTATTATTTTCTTTTTAATTACTTTGGTACATATTTGATATACAAAATGATAACATTCATCATAAGTCATCATAAGGCATTTGTACCTGTACATGATAGATCTTGATGCTTTTTTTTTTTTTTTTTGGTACCAGGAATCAAACTCAGGACCTTGTCCTTGCCAGGCAGGTGCTGTTCCACTGAGCCCTCTTCTCAGCCCTAGATCTTGATTCTTTTTTTCTCATTTTTCCCTTTTCTTCAATTCTTCTTTCCCTCTCCCTTTACAAAACTTTGTTTCTATTGTTTTCCTTCCACTTTCTAATTTTTAAAATCTCTATTCCTTCCCTTTCCTTCCTTTCCCCCTCCCTTGTTCCCCTTCCCATTTGAACATTTTCTTCCTATTTCCCAGTATCTGTCATTCATTTTGGTCCTTATTTATGCTTTCAGTTTCTCATGCAAGAGAAGCAACATGATAGTTAAACATGTGTGTCTGATTTATTTCACTTAAAATTATATTCTTTCCCTTTTAGGTACCGGGAATTGAACTCAGGACCTCATGCTTGCCAGACAGGTACGGTTCCACTGAACTATATTCCTGGCCCAAAATTATGTTCTCAAAGTGCATCTATTTACCTAAAAATGTCTCAACTTAATCCCTTTTCATGGGAGTGTAGTACTCCATTGTATAGAAAACCACATCTTCTTTATCCATTCATCCACTGATGGGCATCTAGGCTGTTTCCAAGATTTAGCTCTTACAAACTGTGCTGTAATAAGCAAGAGTGTACATATATTGCTGTGGCACGATGCTTTTAATTCTTTCAGGAAGTTACCAAGAAGGGGACTACCTGGGTGAAGTGGAACCTCTAGTGCTAACTTTTTGAGGAATCTCCACACTGATTTCTACAGTAGTTGCACCAGTCTACACTCCCACCAACAGTGGAGCAGGGTTCCTTTCTCCCCACAGCCCCTCCAGCACTTGTTATTGGTTGATTTCTTGATGATAGCCATTCTTTCTGGGGTCAGATGGAAATGCAGTGTTGTTTTACTTTGCATCTCTCAGATGACCAGTGATGTTGAACATTTTTTCATATATTTATTTGCCACTTGTACTTCTTTGAGAAGCATCAATTCATTTCAGATGCCCAGTTTTGGGTTGGGTCTTTAAAACTGGGGGGTCTGATTTCTTTGAGTTCTTTATGTATTCTAGATACTAGTCCTTTGAGGAACAGCTGGTGAAATTTTTCTGCCTTTCATGCAGTATTTTTATTTCCTGCGGCATCATGTCCCCCCTTTTGTCCCTATTGTTGCAAATGTCCTTTCTCCTTCTTAAAAAGCTGAGCAGTAGTCCACTTCCCACCCGCTTGGCCTTGTATCTGGATGTCCCCCCAAAGCCTCATGCACTCATAAGTGGGTTTTTTGGAGGTGGCTGGTTCTAGGGTGTGGGCATGTGGACTAAGGGTGTGATGCTGGGATTAAGGGTGTGTGGTACCGAATTAGTCCATTGATCAGAATTAGCATAGTTCTGGGTGTGGATAATGGAAGCTCCACCCTGGCTGTGAGTGGCACCAGTGTGGGTGGCTTATAGCCTGGAGAGAATATAAAGGAAGAGAGAGAAGACCGCCTGCCAGGGCTGCTTGGTGCTTTGCTGTCTCCTGCTTGCTCTGCCAGGGACTGTTTCTTCTCTGTGATGCCCTTCTACCATGCTACCCCGCTTTGGACACAGCTGACTATGTACTGAAACTTCTACACACTATGAGTTGAAATAAACCTTTGCTCCTTTAACTTTGGGTGTCGGGTATTTTGTCTCTGCAATGAGAAAAGTAACCAAGTCACTATACCACAGTTTCTTCACACATACGTCCCCGCTGGGCCTTCAGCTGTTTCCATACCTGGCTGTGGTGGATGATGCAGTAATGTATGTGGGGCCCACGTGTGTCTGCGGGGTGCTGATGCACTTTGGGCAGGGTGTAAGCCCCATGGCTGGGCCCTTTGGTGCTTCCACGGATACAAGTCTTCTGCTGGTGGCAGGTGTGAAAGCAACTCTTCCTCTGTGGCTTACCTTTCTTTCCTCTACTAATAGTGTCTTTTGATGAATCCTCATTGTTAATTTTCATTTAGAATTCTCTGTTTTGGGTAGTGTTTTTCCACTCACTATGAGATCATGAAGATGATGCATTCCTTGTCAACTTGGTATTCTGTATGTAGCTAAGAATATTTCAGAACAAAGAGAATACAAGGTTGTTTTCAAACCCACAAAAGCTGAGATGATTTATTATCCGTGTATTTGTGTTAAAATAAATACTCAGAGGAGTTTCTCACCCAGAGGGAGAGTAACCGCAGAGTAAAATGGTGAACTGCAAGGAGAAATGGAAAAAAATAAAAGGTATGTGATTACATCTAAATAAATAGCATGTGCCATTTTACTTTGTTTGGTTGGTTTGCGAAGTCTTTGGATCATCTTACGACGCCCGCCTAGTGCTCTCTTTGTATTCTTCCCACCCCCAACCTTCTTCCCTGATACGTTTGTTTTTTCTGCCACATTCCCCAAGCAATGGCTCAGTGGTCGAATTCCAGAGTTGCGCTTTCTTTGTTCAAGGGTCAGCCCTATCACTTCTCATGTAGATGTAATTCTAGATCTAGAGATACTTGCTTGTACTAGTGGAATCTCAGTTTCTCATCTATAAAGTAGGTATCAATTACCTACCTAATTGTATTTGGTGTGAGATAATCTGAAAAAAAGTTTAATAAGTCACTTAGCATATAGGAGCCATTCAATACAATTTAACATTATTATGCTGATCACATTTGTGTTTCAATACATGAATGTATGTGATGTTGCTGTCATAGTTGATATGTCAACTTCAGTGGCATATCTTTTTTAAATTTTCATTTCTGATTTTCTGGTTTGTTTCATGCATTCTGTATTATTCTGATGCTTTATAAAATTGTTCAAGTATTCTGTTCAAGTATATCAATTAAAAATATTGTAAAGAAAAATTGCACACATCTGCATTTTGTTTAGATTTCTGTTGGTTAAGAGGCAGCGATATCTCCTTTTGGTATCCTTTGTTTGAGAAATGAAATTTTTTTCTCTGGATGGGGTTCATTCATTTTTACTTTGTTTTTCTGGTACCAGGAATCGAACTCATGACCTCGTGCTTGTCAGGCAGGCGCTGTGCCGCTGAGCTAAATCCCCAGCCCCCAGTCATTTTTACCTACCAGTGCAGTGGAAGGATTCTTCTCTGCTTGTACTGCTAAAGTTCCTGATGTGATGTACTGAAAATAGATAGAGGCACACATAAATATACAGTATCTGCATGGTCACCCAAGAAATTATTGTCAGAACTTTAGTAACATTCTTGACATCTATGCAAACAATATTTAAGTTTGAGATAAATTTGGCTGAAATACCAAAATCCCCATTTTAGGTCTCAGGTAGTCACTGGAAAAAAATTACCCAATAGTAATTCCAGTGGTTCTTTATAATAGAGATAAGAAAACTGTTGCTGGATTAATGTGATTCTTGGGCTGAGGGCAATGAAAGAGTATTTCTAATATGCTCGGTATCATGTCATAAATTCTTAATGAATCTACAAGTGGAAAAGATAATGTCACACACTCATGCACGTGTGCATGCACACACACATACACACACATACCCACACATGGAACACTTCTCAGCCTTAAGAAGGAGATCTGGCCATTTGCTACAATCTGGATCAATCTAGACAACTTTATGCTCTTTTAATTTGCATCTCCCTAATGATTAGTAATGCTAAACATTTTTCATGTGTATGCTTTCATTGAGAAACATCTACTCATGTTCTTTGCCCATTTCTGAATCACGTTACTCACTGGCTAGTGAGCTACTGGTGTTCTTTACACATTTTTGATGTCAGCCCCTTATCATGTATGTGGTATGCAAATATTTTCTCCCAATATGCAGGTTTTCACTTCACTGTTGATGGCTTCCTTTGCTAAAGTCTTTCTGGCTTGGTATGATCCCAGTTGTCTATTTTTGCTTTTGTTGCTTGGGCTTGGGGTTCATATTCAAAAACTAATCGCCCAGAACAATGTTCCCTCTATTGTATTGCCTCCATTGTATTAAAAACTAATTGCCCAATTTCATTCCCTGGCCTCCTGTATTCGGTTGTCCTACTGCCATTGATTGAAGAAACTGTCCTGACCACATTCTGTGATTTTGGCACTTTTGTCAAAGTTAGTTGACTGCAGATATGCAGGTTGATTCTTGGGTTCTCCATTCAGTTTCACTGGAGTACATGTCTGCGTGTTTTTGCCAGTACCATCTTGTTTAGAATTTTGTGGCATAGTAGTAAATTTTGAGATCAAGCAGTCTGACGCTCCCAGCTTAGTTCTTGTTACTTAAGATTGCATTTTCTAATCCGAGTCGTTTGTGGTTCCATGCAAATTTTAGAAATTTTTCTATTTCTATGAAAAATGTCATTGGAATTTATTTTAAAAATTAAAAAAACTAACAAAACAACAGTGAAGACAAAATTGAAGCAACATAAAAACAACAAAAACGATACTTGAGCTCAAAACAAAATGATAGGAATTAACAATGGTTGCTACATTCCATGCTGTTCTCTTCAACGAAGTTGCTCAGTCCACCAGACTGAAGAATGTAAGATTGATCGAACAATCAAGGCAATAACAAGTAATAAAAAAAATTGGAAATGGTGCAGAGCTTCACCATACAAGATGGTAGGAGTTCAACAATGGTTCTTATACTGCGTATTGTTTTCAGGTCAGTCATTCTGATTACTAAATTCAAATATGCAAAATTAGTCAAGAAAAAAGAAAATTTTAAGCAGTGACTATTCCTTTCAATAAACCACAGTGTCATTGGAATGTTGACAGTACTTGCATTCGATCTATAGCTCATTTTGGGCAGTATGGACATTTTTATAATATTAATTTTTCCCAACCACGAACATGGGAGGTCTTTCCATTGATTTGTGTCTTCTTCAACTTTTTTAAATTAATATTTTATAATTTTTGGTGTATAGACCTTTCAGTTCTTTGGTTAAATTCATTTTTTGATACTTTTATAAACAAGATTATTTTCTTGATTTTACTTTTGGATAGTTCATTGTTAGTGTACAGAAATATGACTGATTTCTATGCACAGATTTTGTATCCTGAAACTTTACTGAATCTATTTATTGAATTCTAACAACTTTAACAAATTTTTGGTGGACTTGTCAGGCTTTTTATATGAAAAATTATGTCACCTGAGAAAGAGACTAATTTTCTTCATTCTGATTTAGATGCTTATAATTTCTTTTTCTTGCCTAATTGCTCTGGCTAAGTTATTACATACTATGTTGAAAGAAAGTGTACAGACTAGGTGTCTTTTTCTTTTTCTTGATCTCAGAGGAAAAGTTTGAACATTGTACTGTTGGAGATGATGTTAGCTGTGGCTTGGTGATATGCAGCCTCTATTGTATTGAGGAATAGTCTTCCTATACTTAATTATTGAGCTTTTATCATGAAAGTTTGTTGAGTTTTGAAAATTTTTTTGCATTTCTTGAGACGATCATACAATTTTTAGCCTTCACTGTGTTAATGTGGTGTGTCACATTTATAGATTTGTGTGTGTTGAATCATCCTTGCATTCTTGGGATGAATCCTACTTTATCATGGTGTGTGATCCTTTTAATATACTGGACAACTTGGTTTGCTGGCATTTTTATATCTATGTGCATCAAAGGTATTGTAAGGTTCTTTTCTTGTAGTAATTTTCTTGAATCATTCTTTTCTAGGTTTGGTATCAGGGAAGTTCTGGTCATACAACATGAGTTTAGAAGTATTCATTTGTTTCTTAAGGGGGAGTTAAAAAATTGACTTGAATTCTTTATATGTTTGGTAGAATTAACCAGTGAAACCATGAGATCATCATCATTTCCATCTTGGGAGGCTTTTGATTATTGATTCAAACTCCTAATCCATGTTTCATTCAGATTTTTTGTTTCTTCCTGAATCAGTTTTGGTAGACTGTATGTTTCTAATATTGGTGCAGTCTACGTACTGCTGTAACTGAAGTACTTAGAATACAGCACGAGCCTCAGGTAGTCAGTAAACATTTGCTGAGCAAATGAACTAAATATAATTTTGTGTGGTAGGCACATGTTACTAAAACGTGAGTGAGAAAATGGAAGGAGGTTGAATATTTTACCATTCACTGTAAGACACAATAGAAATCCATTAGAAATCCCCGTTGAACTTTTCCAAATTTCTCTCAGGCCATTAACATCTGATCTTACTTTTGCTGAATTACTTCTAAGAGCTCCTTCTTTGGCTCCATGTGGTGGTGGATTCACTAATGGTCAATTTGTGACACCCAGCCGAACTGAGTCAGCGTGGTTCTGGGTGTGCAAAGCCCACCTGAGGATTGTTGCCAGTAACAGAAGAGAACTGAGGGAAAGACGGTGCGCTGTTGGTTCTCCTGGAGAAGGCTGTCACGCTGGTTTTCCTGATATGAACTCAGCTGTTCTCATCATTGGAGGAGCTCTGATCCTGGCTGTCACTGAGGATGGCTATAGTTCTTTTTGGGGGCGCTCTGGTCCTTACCAGGAAGTGTTGCTTCCTGGCTCCAGGGCAGATCTCTCAGCCTGCGGGCACGGATCCTTCATCCCACAGGCACACATTTCCAGCTTCCACCACTGACCTTTGGGCCTTCCCAGCGCAGACCTCTGATACGGATTTGCATAAGACATCGTCGTGGGCTCTAGGCCTCCAGTCAGATGCATGAAGAACACTGCTGCAGGCTCTAGGTCTTCAGCGGGACTCACGCAGGACGTGGCTGTGGGATCCAGGCCCTCAGCTGCATTCTTTGGGTCTGTAGTGCATGGAAGGATCTCCTGCACTCTTTTGCATTTGACTATTTGGGTGAATATTATAAAATAATCCTATAAATTATGTGTCCTGTATTGAATCTTTCCCCTTGTAAATCCTGACTACAACACTCCAGTAACTAAGTCTTGGCTCTCCGTTTGTCAATGTCCTGGGAACACTTCCTGGTAAGGACCAGGAAGCTGCGCATTCACCAGGCATTTGGCTAATGCTTTTGGGGACTCTGACCATTCTTTGCATCCTGACATCCACTCAGCTGAACAGACTTTTCGTATGGCAGAAGTTTATAAATTAATTTAACAATTTAAAATAGCTTCAAAGACACAAGAACGAATTTCATGACAGAAAGGATTATACTTTTCATAGATGGTCCCTCTAACGCATTTCCTGGCTGGAGAAGCAGACACTAAACGTACTGACTAAATTAACAAATGATCATCAGCAAGACAATTTACTCACAACTACGAATCCCAGAAATGGGTATCCTGATACCAAGGTTATAGGCAGGTAGACTAATGAAAATACATCATGTTGTTGAACATATAAATATAACCAGAAGTATCCTAGAAAACAGTGTATTAGACCAACCATTATTTGAGCAGCCTGTAAGAAAAGAATGTCATAATCAGTTACACAGGACATCATATTTCAAGACAGTTACAAATTAAGTGCTGGGAAGGGCATAGGGGAGTTTCGCTTTTATGTTTTGGAATCACTGTGGTCTGTGCTAGTACTCTTGTTCAGCCTTAGAAAATACCAAAACCTGGGAAGGAGTCAAGGTGACAGAAGAAGGTATTAGCCATGAAAGGACTTTGAATCTCTACAAGTAGCTCATACACGGACTGTTTGCTCGAGTAATTAGCAACTTGCAGAGGTGTGGTTGCTTTCATGTCTATTAAGGTGTCTCATGCCTCGTTTTGGGGCCAGAGCAGGACACGGCTGGAAGCCTCCAACTTAGAAAGAGAGGGTGATCTGGCGCATGCCTGATGCCCCTGCTTCACTTTGTCTGTTTGGTCTTGCGTATATCAACGTCAGGTCTAGCTCTGTGCTCTGACGCATTTCTACTGTCCACGTCCACCGGGGAACGGGACACTGGTTTTCTTTTGATTATGATTTCACTTTAAACACAGTGGGGTAGGAGGATGTACTCGCAACCAATAATGCTGGATCCTAAGATTATGGCCCCAATGGTCACAGGAACTTTTCTGAACTACACTTTATAGTACAGTCCTGGCTTTTGATCTGCTCAGTGCTCCCCTAATTAGGGCGTATGACACAGCAAGATGTAATATGCGGCATGTTTGGTTGGGATAAAGGAGTAGGAGCAATGATTCAGCGTATCCCCTTACCTGAAATAATGTAGAACAGCGTCAAGAGCATGGCGCTATGGGGTGATCGACGGCCACAAGGTCCTGTGATCTAGATTATTTTCTGACAGTAACCCCTGACCTTACCATCTCATTTCCAACCCACGCTCAGATTTACTTCCAAACTCTTCACTGATACCCAAAACCCAGGGAAAACCACCGTGGTAAGGTTGCTGGGCCTCAGTTTATTAATTCTCTCTCATTGGCGGTTGGGAGAGAGCAATCAGGCAATGTCTTCGACTTTCAATGCTTGGAAGGTGCGACATCAAATCGTTTACCGACTCAAGTGACACTTGGTTCTTACCCCAAACATTTTGGTCTCCTCATTCAACATAATGTGTGTCGATGGCATATTACTCAATTACGATGTGACCACGAGACAAAATGAGTGGAAATTATCTCTAGAAGACAACAAACATAAACATGCTCTTCTCAGACCAAGCACTTAAAAGCCACTGAGAAATCTGTTGTTGCTTTTTCTAATTTTTCAGCAAGAAACACTTCTCTGAACTAAATACTTAAAATGGATCCACTGAAATATTTTTTTTTTTGGACATAGCTAACTGCTTGGCAGTTCCGTTAGATTGTATTCATGTTTACCAGTTGTAAATAAAACTTGTGAGTCCTTAAGATTCTTAGGTGCAGACAACAGAATTTGACAGCTGGCTTAATAAAAAAAAAAATGAATGAGGGTGAGTTCACAGAGTCCCAGGGAAGGAGAAGCTGGTCGGGCAATGCCAGGAGCCCAATCCCTGATCCAGACAGAGGGCCGGCCCGAGTGCACTGTTGTTGGACACCCCTCGCTCCTGTAGTCGGAATGTGAGCTTCTGTCTCTGTACCCTCTGGTGCAGGCACCAGGGCACAAACACCGGGGCCCATCTCCCCAGCCACCCCAGCATGAGGCTGTGGTGAGGGGAGGCCAGCATCCTCCTGCCTGGGCGTGCCCTGGCGCCCTGGGATCCCCCAGTGTCCTTGTGTCTCTTCCTGCGACTTTCTCAGCGCTTACCCGAGTGGAAGCTGTGCACTTAAACGGGCCAGCTGTCGAACCCACATCCTGGAATAGGGGTGATGGGAAGGGATCAGTAGAAAGCACCAGCCCGAATTCACTGGGCTCTTCCGCTCTTCACGGTTGGGAAGGGGTCTGGCTAGGAGGTCTCGGGCCTACCTGCCCTGGCACTCGCCGGGTCTGCTCCAAGCACAGCAGCTCCGGCCGCCCGCCGGTCCCCTCTTCCGCGTCCCACGGGCCCCAGCGAGTAGGTCGCAGTCTCCGGCCCGCACCCCTGTACCGCCCCGCGCCCCTCCATCCCCTCGCGGCTCCAACGCCCCCGCCTGCGGCTGCGCGAGGAACGCGCGCGCGGCGTCTCCGGCCTGTGGCGCACACAGCCCTCCGCTCCCACGAAGACCTCCACGGGAGATGCACGGTCCAGAAACCCCCAAGGCCGCAGCTCTTGGGCAAAATGTGGGGGGCGCAGCCCCCCCGTCTCGCGCGCGTCGGTCTCGGCTGCTGGCTCCTCCTTGGGCGGAAACAGTGACACCTGCGCTCGGGCCTCCAGGTGCGCACTGCCCAGCTGCGCAGACCCAGCTGCTTCACACCGTTCCCGCGGCGGCGACCAGGGGCGCAGGAGTCCTTCAGGAGGAGCCTGACCTCTGCAACGCGAGACAGCTGTCTCCAGCACGGGCTTGGGACAGACAGGTGATTTCGAGGTCTCGTCTAAGCCCTTGTCCGCGTCAGACAGTTAATTGTGAATCATAGATGGGAATAGTGTTCGCTGAACTCTGTTATGTTTGGTGTTCTGCAGATTTACTCAGTTCAGGAAATTTCCGTTGAGTGCCGGTAGGTGCCAGGCACAGTCCTCAGTGCTGAGGAAGCAGCAGCGACCGAAACGGGGTACACGCCCTGCACTCCTTGGGGGCTTGTCTCGACTGTGAGACCGAGCTGCCTCTCAGGTTTGTGGCCAACCTCTGCAGCGCGGGCCGCTGCGGCCGGCCCGCTGAAATCCGGAGGGGACGCTGGGTGCTGCATCTACTTCGGCCGCAACAGGCGGAGTGACCCCAACTTCAAGAACAGGCTCTGAGAACGAAGAAACAAACAGAAGCTTGCCAAGGAGAGCTGGGCTTTCCAAGCTACCTGACCTTAAAGATGCCGAAGCTGTTCAGACGTTTTTTTCCTGGAAGAAATACAGCTTGGTGAAGAGTTACTGGGTCCGGGTGAGTGTGAGCAGGGTGTGGACCGTCTGACGAATGCAGGTGCTGAGTGTGGACAGCCGTAGCGGTTGCTGCAGGTGTTACAACACCCTCTTCCACCACCGGTGTTCCAGATGCTGCTCACTAAGCTCTCAACCGTTACTCAGAGAATTGTGAGCGCTCAGAGCTTGGCTGAAGATGGTGGGGAATGCAGACAAATCTCAACAGAAGAAAATCTCAAAAAGATTTTACAAGTTCTATGCTTGGAAGTTGAACGACTGGGGGAATAGGGCAAATATGCTTGTGAATGGACTGTCCTATACTGAAATCTCCCAAAGTTAATGTTTACTCTGTGTAGATCCGTTTGTCTATTATTTATTTTTCCCAGTGAAAAGTGTATTTTAATAGAGAGATTTTCATTTTATAAAAACACCATGAGTCACCAAAATATGAATTTTGTTTATTCCTTAGACCTGAGGTTAAAATGTACATGTATCATTAAAAAAACCCAGTGCTTAGTTTCTTTTTTTAAATTTAATTTAATTTAATTTTATTTATTTATTTATTTTTAATTTTTATTTTAAAGAATAAAAGAAGGATAACATAATAATGGGGGGACTTAGCAAATTACAGACAAAATGGTAGGAAATTATCAATGGTTATCGTTTTACATACTATTATCTACAAAATAGTTTCTCAGGAAAACAAATAGACAAATAATAGTGAGTTAGAGACAAAAGAGGTAGGAGATTATCAAGAGTTGTTGTGCTATACTTTGGTATCTTCAAAGTGGCTTCTAAAGAAAATAAATAGAGCTATACATGAGTGACCTATTGAAAAATCATTAACTATTCTCAATGGTTGTTGTAGGAAACACATAATAATAAGCATACATTATGAAATAGGATAGGAACATTACAAACTTAACACAGTTATGGATAGATTAGTAGGAAAATATCAATGGCTGCTGTAATACGTGGTGGTATCTTCAAAGTGGTTTCTCAGGAAGACAGAGATATGCAAGAAGGATCTAATAAGTAGTTACAGCCTAAGGGTTGTCAAAAATAGCATATTACCTCCTCACCAGTGACTCCTTTCACTGAGGTATGATGGCTGGAAGGAAGGCCAGGATTGAAAAGAAGGACCGAGAGACTTGCACCTGTGACTAGCAGCAGGCTGTTTTCTTGTTCTTCCATAGTCGTGATTACCCAGGGCTCCTCGATGGAGATGACGGTCTGGCCAGAGGGAGAAGGCAGACCATGCCCCAAGCCCTCTCATTCCTGTTGGACTAACTGGTAGCATGGGTCTGAGCTCTGGGGCCTCCACCTCAGAGGGCAGACCGATCTCCAGTGGTCTCCTTTGCATCCAGGGCATGGCCCATGGGGCCTCTTAGGGCAGTTCCTCTTGAGGTGGCCTGGCTTTTAAAGTGCTTAGTTTCAAAGAACAGGCAAAAGGGCTGGGATTGCAGCTGGGTACAGAGTACTTGTCTAGCACATGAGCCCCTAGTTTTGGCCCCAGCACCACAAAAAATAAACAAAGTGAAAAAGTGTAGGAGAGTGGTGAGTGTATGTTTGTAAAGCTCACACATTTTCTTATAGAGGACAGTTGGATAGAGACTTGATTGTACTTTTGAAAAGTGTTACAGTGAGAGGTCCTTTCTTTCTATTTACTCTTCAGCATGCTGCTGTGCTGTACTAATGGCTCCACCTCTTTCCTTGGTATCGGTTTTGAGCAGTTTTATTTACATCAGTGTACTTAATGGTTTTGGATATTCATCTTGTATTTCAAGTATATGTGACTGCAAGTAGTACGGGGAATTAGATCCACGTACCTAATCTCACCTATGAGCTTCACCGGTTGGAACTGCTCACTCTCGTTTACAAAGCCTGGGGATCAGCGCTGGTGATTTTGAGGTGTCCCATTCAGCTTCTGCTTCTTTTGGCTTTGTTCAGCATCTTCAAATTCACCTTCACCTGAGGAGTGTATTTGGGCAACTAGGATTTGCATTTTTTTTTAATATTCTGAATTCTGCATGCTTGCCTCACTTAGTATTTCTGAGGCGATGTTTTGATTTTCACTGGAATTGGTCAGTTCTGTGACTATGTAAATTTGAAAATTAACCTTTAAGGTACCTGGGATCATCTGCCTGTAAAAATGTTTGTTCCCTTTTGCTCTCATGCTCTGCACATTTCAGGTTGGTTAATTTATGTCATGCAATGAGAGTGGGATGTAATACTGACTAAAGGCTTAAATACAGTGTGTAGGACCTCTTATTCTCACAGTGACATATTGTCTGCATTTCACAATTGATCAGTTTCGTACTGAGAATAAGCTTCTTTGGTACTTAAAAAAAAAGAAGTGTGAAGCCAGTAATCAACACGGCCCATGAGAAACTTCATGCTGTGTTAGTGATAAGGGCTAAGGGAAAATACAGAAGGGAGACAGGGTGGGCGGGAATGTAAAATTTAAACGAGGGCAGTCTGGACAGTCCTCATGGCAAAGAAGACAAGATCAAAAGCCTAGAGAAGCGGAATAGAGAACTTGTGGGTACCTGGGGCGATGCCCGGCAGGAGGACTGGCAGGGGACCGGACCCGAGAGTGTTTGAGGAGGAAGGTGGCTGGTGCAGGTAGTAAGGAGAGGGCACCAGGGAGAGGATAGGAAGGCAGACTCAGGGACTTACTCATGACTCTGCCTGTCCAGTCTTGATTTTCCATGTGCTGGGATAGAGAGTGCCCAGCAGGTCAGGAAAGCCCACTTCTCGATTTTCTTGCGGTCTCTGTCTAGTGATGAGTGACAGGCAGGCCAGCAGACTGAGGAGGAAGACCCGCCCCACTATGCAATAGGCTTGGGCCCTGATGGAATGAAAAGGAGGAGGAGGAGGAAGGGAGTTGGCCTGAACTTGCACACTTGATTCTCCTTGAGCAGCTTTGTCTTCTGTGGCTGCCAGCGCTTGTGGATGTGAGAGTCCAGATTCCTCAGCCTTTCCACATGGACTCACCACCAACTCTCCAGGGAGCTTCCAGGCCTTCAGACTCTTACTGGGGCTGTGTCTTTGATCCATCTTGTTCTGAGGCTTCCAGCGTCCTGGACAGAACAGCTAGCTATAGGGTCCCCTGTGTGCACATGGCCGCTGTAGACCACTCAACTTTGATCTCATAAGCCAACCTAACAAATTCTCTTTTATGGTTGTGTGTATCAATTCTGCTTCTCCTGAGAACACTAACCAATACACTGGCATGACAACTGAGCAGGACTGTCAACTTGATTGAATTAGGAGCCATCCAGGGGATCAGTAAAACACTTCCAAGTGTGTGTGTGTGGATCATGGAAGCGTGACTTTGGGTACTATGATCTAGTTCCTTTCCTCTCAAGCTCGTTTCCCTGGATCTGCTTCCCAGCTGGTAGGAATTTAGGGGCTTTACTTCACTATGATTTTTCACCATGCTGTTCCAGCCAACCATGGACTGAATCCTCTGGAACCACAAGCCAGATATACTCCACATTGCAGGTGTGTGGTACTGTGTTGAGCTATAAGAAAGGTGACTAGTACAACTGGCTTTATGACTAAGGAGGTAAAATGCTGTGGAAAGCTTCATTGGGTCATTTTTGGCATGGAAAATGTCAAACATGCAGAAAAATATGATGCCTTTCATAATCTCACATGGACCAGAAAACATGCATTCCAAGGGGCAATGCTATATGTGCCTTAATAAGTAACAGAAAAGTTGTTTTCTAAAAAATGATGCTATTATTATATCTAATAAAATTGACAGCAGTTCCTTAATTTTATCTAGTACCTGATTCATATTCAAATTTTCTGGAAGCCTCAAACCTTACAGTTGGCTTGTTTGAACCACAAGGTCTGCTTAGCTCTCTAGCTCAGCGGCACAGTGCCTGCCTGGCAAGTGCAAGGTCCTGAGTTCGATTCCTGGTACCAAAAAAACCCACACAAAGTCTGCTTACTGTATTTGATCGTTGTTTTTCTCAAGTCTTATTAACCTGCCGATGGATTTCTTTCTTTTAAAAACACTATATTTGGCACAATTTATAATAGTTAAATCTTGGAAACAGCCTATATGTCCATCAATAGATGAATGCATAAAGAAAATATATTTATACACAATGAAGTACTACTGTTATAAACAAGAATAAACCTGAGGTATTTGTAGGCAAATGGATGTGTCTCAATACCATAATGTGAAGTAAAATAAATCAGTCGCACAAATTTAAATGTTGCATGGGGCTGGGGATTTAGCTCAGTGGCAAAAGCGCCTGCCTGGCAAGCACAAGGTCGTGAGTTTGGTTCCTGGTACCGGAGAAAAACAAAAAAAAAAACAAAAAAAAACAAAAAAAATGTTGCATGGCTTCTCTTGCATGAGAAATCTAAAATATAAAGAACAAAATAAAGCATAGATAATGGGAAGTAAGGAGATCTTTTTCAAATAGGAAGGGGAACAAGAGATGGGAAGAGGGAAGAAAGGGAAAAAGGATTGAAAAAAGAGAGAATCAAAGAAAAAATGAAAATAGAGCTTTTACAGATGGGAAGGGAATCAAGAGTTGGAGGGAGGAGGGGGGATGGGAGTGGAAGAAACAGAAAAGAATTAAGATGTGTGATGTACATGTACAAACTTCCCATAATAAATCATTATGTACTGCAAAATGTTCTAATAAAAACCCATAATTAAAAAGAAAAAAACCTACTATATATCAACTGAAAAAACTCAGTTATTTTTCCTTTATAATTTCCCACATTCAAATTGCCTCTGTGTGGTGCCATTTAACTTGCATCTCTATCCCCATATTTATTGTAAACTATTGGTTCTATACAAACCTATAGGTAGATTAAGATTCATATTTTCCGGCAAAACATTCCATAATTGCAGCTGTCTACTTCTCATTGCATTGCACTGGAAATATCATTGCTTTTTTCTTTTCTTTTCTTTTCTTTTCTTCTTGGTACTGGGAATCAAACTCAGGACCTTGTGCTTGCTAGGCAGGCACTTATGCCACTGAGCTACATCACTGGCCCCTGCACTGGGATGCATATGTTGACGGGTTGCCTCTGTTCTGAAGACATTAACATTGACTGGCACATTTAGGTTTTATCCTGATCCATCCATTACACATTTTCTCTTAACTGAATCCATTGATGATCTTTACTTAGACTCATATCATTAGAGATTGTGCATTGGTACTTTTCTTAATTCCATCAGTGCTTCTGAATTTATTGTCCGGTATTTTTTTCTGAAAAGTAACAGTGTCCTGGAGGAATTATACTTTTAACAAAAATACTTTGTATAAGAAAGGCAAAGGAGAACACACCCTTTTTCTCTCCAACATCATGTTGGGTTTCAAGCCAATGAAATTGGGTAATTAAAAGAAATAAAAGGCATCAAGATTGGTGAAGGAAGAAGCAAAATCTCCTCCATTCATAAGAGGCTTGATAGTGTGTGTGTAAAATTCTGAAGAACTCAGGTGTGAAAATAATGAAAATTAATAGTTCAGCAAGATGGGAGAAAACAAGATAAATATACAAAATCAGGTGCATTTCTATATACCAAAAATGAAATTAAGAAAACAACTCCATTTACAATAGCATGAAAAAATCTTAGAGTACATTTAAGAAGTACAAGACATGTACATTGGAAACACAAAGCATTTTTGAGGGAAATTATAGATCCAAGCTAATGGAAGGATATCACACACTCATTAATAAGAACACTCAATATCTTAATATTGTCAAGATAGGAAAGGCAGTAGTATTTTATACATCAATAGTGAACTTGCTGGAAAAGAATTAAAGTAATCTTATTCACATTAGCTGCCACAAATACAATATTTAGGAATAAATTTAACAAAGGAGGTGAAAGATCTTTACAGAGAAAGTTATAAAATACTGGAGAAAGAAATTATAGAGAATACACACAAAAGGAAATATATCCCATGTTCATGGATTGGAAGAATAGTTAAAATAAACATACCACTCCAAATTATCTACAGATTCCATACAATTGCCATCAAACTACCAATAGCATTCTTGGCAGAAATAGAAAAAAATCCTAAAATTCATATGGAACCACAAAAGAGTAAGTATTGCTAAAGCAATTCTGAGGAAAACAAAGCAAAACGTAAGAAAACAAAAACAAACAGAAGTAGCTAGAGGCATCATGAGACCTGACTTCAAAACACATTACAAAGTTATAGTAACACAAACGGTATGTTTCTAGCATAAAAACAGAGACATAACCCAAGGGAACAGAATGTAGAAGGCAAGACGTTATTCCACATTCATAAAGCCAATAGATTTTGAGAAAGAGTTTAAGAACATACAGTAGGAAGGAAAGGACAGTCTCTTCAACACACAGTGCTGGTAAAAGTGGATCTGCATACACAGAAGAATGAAAATGGATCCCTTCATCTTACTGCGCAAAAATTCAGCTAAAATAGGTCAAAGGCCTAAGTGTCAAACCTGAAACTATGAAACTATCACAGGAAAACATAAGGGAATCATTTCAAGACACGGATGTAGGTGATTGTTTTTTAGACAGGACTACAGAAGCACAGGAAGCAAAAACAAATAGATAAATGAGATATCAAAGCAAGAAGCTCCTGCAATGCAAAAGAAATAATTGGCAGAGTTAAGGAATAGCCTACAGAATGGGAGATTTTCAAATATTCATTTGACAAGGGATTAATATTCAGAATATGTAAGGAACTGAAAAAGCCAAATACCAAACAATGTCCTGAATAATTCAGTTAAAAATGGACTCAAAATCTAAATAAACTCTTCTCTAGAGAAGACATAAAAATGGGCAATGATGAAAAATGTTCAGTTTCACTGATCATCAAGGGAATGGAGAGCAATGAGATACCCTCTTGCCCTAGTTAGAATGGCATCTGTCGTCAAAAAAACAAAAAGTAGCACATGCTAATGAGGATGCAGGGAAAGGGGAGCTCCCCTGCACAATGGGGTGCTCATATGCAAGAGAATTAAGTTTAACTCCTACCTCCTATTCCTGTAACAAGTTAACTAAAATTGTAAAAAACTTCAATGGATGAGTTAAAAACTACAAACTATCTAGAATAAAACACAACTACAAATTTTAATGACCTTGAATTGGGCAGTGGTTTCTTAGCCATGACACTGAAATTGCAAGTGACAAAAGAATAAAGAGGTAAATTTGACTTCATTAAAATTAGAAACTTTGCATCTGCCATGGTTTAGGGATATAGAGTGTCCCCCAGAAGTCCCCATGTATTCAGAGGTGAAGATTTTGGAAGGTTATTGGTTCATGAGGTGCTACACTCATGGGCTCCTATACCCGTCAGTTAATTGATGAATTCATAGCTAGATGTTCTGGGGGCTGGTTGGAAGAAACGTGCCACTGAGTGTTTTAGACATTTTCCTCATCACTGAGACACAATACCCAACATGCCCAGCCTAGTGGAGAAGTCTGTTTTGGTTCACAGTTTAGTCTGTAGTTGGCAGGCTCCAACACACAAATGGCATGGTGGAAGGCCTGCTGTGGAGGAAAGTTGCTCACGTTATGATAGCCAGGGAGCAGAGAGAGGGGAGAAACTGAAGAAGGGGGTATACCCTTCTCAGTTGCACCTCAGTGCCCTCCTCAACTAGGTGCCAGCTCCTAAAAGCAAGTCAGCGATAGCACTCCCAAAATCCAGTCACCCTCCAAAAGCCCCGCCTCTGAACACGTGAGACTTCTGGGAGACGCTTAGATCCAAATCCTGACTCTGAGGACATGTCTTTGGAGTGTTTATCTCCCTCCCTGGGTCCTCAGGGACAAAAGATAAAACAGAAAAATTTGAATTGGCCCAGAAGTCACCACGTGTAAAGATGGAGGTAAAAGAGGTGTGGCTGCTGAAAAGATTAGTGCCATGAAAAAGGGAACAACTGCTTTGTACAGGGACAAGAAGAAAGATGTCTTGAAGGCACATCAAGAACCAGCAAGATCCCATCCATCACAGGCTCAAAGGTGTGAAAGGGTAAACCCCTTTGAAGGAACTTTCAATCTACTATGGACTAGAAGCCTCTGAAACTGCGAGACAAAATCAGCCTTTTCTCTTTAATAATGTGTTTGTCTTAGGTATCTTGTTGCAACAATAAGCTGGCTAGCACGGAAGGTTCTTACAGATACAACAGAACATTTCTTTAAAAATAATTTGTCTAAAATATTATAAAATTCAAAGCATGATAAACCATAGTGTAAAATTGTGGGCAAAAAGGATGGAACATTTTGGGAGTTGGACTTTCTAGAAAATGAAAATCCAGTGGACATTCATTCAGGCACCCTTACTAACATAAAGACATGGCTAATTGGATGTACTTTCTCTACTACAAATACGGTCGGCATATTTTAACAACGTGTAAAAAGGAAACATTAGACATAAAGTGTAGAGTGAGTCTGCCTTCACAGGCATGGAACTGTCTGTAACTTACGCTGATGTTCCTTTTCACAATGAGATGATTTGGTTGAGTTAGCATCATTTCACCTCATCAGTATTAGATATAGATTAGGAATATGTGCTATTCGTAGAATTTCTTATGCTTAGAAGAATCCATTAACTTGGGCTAACCATATTCAGCCTGAGATAAATTTATACTGATGAAATAAACTTATGGTGAGCTCCCCACATAGAAAAACAACCACATTCATCAATATTGAGTTTTATTAATGAAATAGGAGAAAGGAAGTATCGAGATGACCTTAATTAAATCACATGTTCCAAGAAGCGTCTTGAACTAAAGAAGTTCTTCATTCACCTTTAAACTTGCCTTCTGAACTGAAGTCATCGTGATGTTCGATACAGACGAGAACTCCTTTCTTGAATGAACCTGAGATGAGTTGGATGTTAGTAAATTTCTCATTTATACACGCTCAAATAAAGAACCATAGAATTTTCAGTAGCATTTTGGAAAGATTTCTGATAGGATTTCTTTGATTATTGGAAGTCTTAAAACTACATGCTTTTGTTGCTTTTTAGTTATTTTCTTTGCTGTTATTCTTTCCTCTTCCTCTTAGCCTTCCTCTCTGCTCTCCACGTCAGTTCTACCTAGTGTGAGTAGAAAACTTTTGTATGTTCTCATATGTTCAATCCTCCCAATTTGTTTAGAGGAGAACTAAGAATGATATGTGTGTATTTATATATTTACTTTATGTTAAAGAAGGACTATAAAGTTTTCTTTACATTATGAGTTTGAATGCCTTTAGATGGAAATTCAGTGGCCAATTTTACTTCAAATGTATTGAAAGCAATTGCTGCCCTAGCTATAAATGGCAGATTTTTAGTACCCTAATTCCTGCAGTGACTAGGCATCGAACTCACACTTTTTTTTAAAAAAGGAGATGACTTTTGCAGTAAAAAGCCTCTAAGCATCAAGAGAAAGTGGGATATCCAGGGAAAAATGTATCTGGTCTTTTCTTCTTCTTCCTCAGCTTTGTCAGGTGGATTCAAAGTAGACATTATTTTATCAAAGTTATCTGCAAATTAGGATGGGCACCTAAACAGGGATGTTTTAATGGAGGCGTGGCAGGTGAACTGATGCAGCTGGAGCAGTGTTGATCTTGGTGTGTGCTGGGAAACAGGTCAAGAGAGCAGTTTAGGCCAAAATTGTTATAGAAATCAATGTAGCACTAGAATATAGGCTCTCATGCTGTGTTGCTTGTCTAAACTTTCATCAGAAGAGAAAGAAAGGGAGGACAGAAATGAAATACACTTAGTGGGTTGTATGAGAAGAATTGCCAGATTATTTCAATGTGGGGGTGTTGCTCAGCTCCCTGATAAGGGCTGTCAGGTGGTCGGTGGAGCTATCGAATGGAAAAGAGGTAAAGAAATGATGTTGTGGGGGAGATGATCAGTCTGGTTGTATTTTGTTTGAGGTTCGTTGGGCTCATCTGGATCAAAGTCGCTGTGAGAAGTTGCAAATACAAGCTAGGGACTCAGTAGAAAGGTCTAGGACAGAAATGGAGCCTTGGGACTGTCGCATACTTGCAGGTGCTTAACTAAGTTGTGAGTGTACGTATGGCATTGCTCACTGAGGAAATAAAACTGGGAAAGTCAAGGGAGAGAACAGCCATCTAAGAATACTGTGACCTAGGTAACAAACCAGATCAAATTTGTGAGCTTAGGAATGGTACGTAAGACAGGGAGAGGTTTGTAGTTTCCTAAGCCTCCCTGTGCTTCTGGTCTAGAATGCACGGATAAACCACAGTCCGCGTCCCTGTAGCCTTGTGTCCCTGCTTGTGACCTGGACCTGTGAAGTGGACACCAGGGGAGAGTGCAGACGCATCCTTCACCAAAGCGTTCTGACTCAGTGATGATAAGGTCACTGGAGATAACGTTTGTCTTTAGTCCTGGAGTAGTAGAAGTGGTGGAAAGAGGACAGCATCTTTCCTAGAGAAAAGTTTGCATCATCTTTTCCAACTATACATTTCCTCCAAAATCTTGGTTTCTGAAGAAACTGAAGTTCCTATACTTTGACCTTCAAGTTTTTCTCTGAGATTCTGAGAATTAACCTCAGCGTTCCTCTATCCCCGGGCCTGATAACAACCTCTACAAAATTCTTTTGTTTCTAGGGAATTATCTGTTGCATTAAACAGATATAAACAAAAAATCATATACTAGTACCCTGTATCTTATTCACTCAGGAGGGTGTGGGGATTGTTTCATCAATTTTGCATGCCCACATCGGATAATCTGAGGAGCTGCTCCTAAGATAACAACAGGCGTTATAACAGCCATTGTTCATTTCCTATCATCTGGTTTTGAAATTCTGTATTGTTTTTATAAATTTTTTATTCTCTTTAAAATAAAACAGTTAAAATGACACGTTTAGAGGGAAAAAATCCTGTAAATACGAAACATTTCATGTGGGGGAGGACATTTGTTTTCAGTTACACATCTCAGTGCGCAATACCGCACAGCGTTCCCAGCTATCTACACTCAGTTTGTACATGACACTACCTCTCTTTTTTCCGTAGTGCTGGGCGTTGAGCCCAGGGCCTTTAATATGCTAGGCAAGCATTCCACCACTGAGCCACATCCCCAGGCTACTGATCCCGTGCATTTGTTTAGTTCATATCAGAATGTTAGCTCTTCAGGTAGGGCTCATGAGGAAAGAAGCCCAGAGCATTTGCTCGCCAAGGAAGAAGGGAGATACTGCACACTCACCTGCTTCTTTTTGCTTGCACTGCCCACCTGGTCGCGACACTGGCCACAAACAGCTGCAGTGCGGTGAACAGGAACAGATATTCTGAGAGCATTTTAGCACTTCTCTGTATCCAAAAAGAAAATGTACGTTTTTTCCCCTTACAGGTCTTGTATTACGGAATTGCAAGAATAAAAAAAATAGAAAAACTACTCAGTCTACTTTCTACCTTCAACAACTGAATATTTTACTTTTTTTTTTTTTTTTGTGGTGCTGCAGATCAAAACTTGGGTGCTGCCCAAGCTAGGCAAGTGATTTACCATTGAATTATACCCCAGCTCCTTTGCATATGTTTTTGATTATAAGGTTAATAAGTGATAATTATTAAGAGTGGGGATAAACTGGTAAAGATTCCTGAGAATGAGGACCGCTGATTGTATTTTCCCTGTTTGCTGTTGTAGATAAAATCAGCAAATTTTCACTGAGGCCAGTGAAACTCTGGAGAAAATAAAATTGGGAGACTCTTGAGGTTGGGTGTTACAGAACTTACTTAGTGAAGAGATCTACAAATTTGCCTTGTTATTTAGTAAATGATACTAAAGAAGAACTCATGGAGAGGGAAGCGGAGGTTTGAATTTGAAAGCTGGACTTTACCCAGGGGATACGTGTCCTGGGGCTGGATGTGCCTGGCTGTGCCAGCTCCCGGCTCATTGTACTTCTGACCCAATAGGCCCACATCCTCTTGGGATAGTTGGGTTGAGGACAAGCACAAAGTCTATAATAGTGGAGTCTCAAGTTTCCTCAGTAATCAGTGTACTTTTGTGACAAGACCGTCATGGGCTATGCAGGTCAGTGTTCAGTAGTGGCACTAGTTCATAGCATAGCAGAGATAAATGTTGGGTTCCAGGATGAGGTGCTGCAGGATTCTATCAACTATGGGTTTGGAGTCAATATTGAACCCTTGGCTCTCAGTGTTCTTAAATAACTTGACAGAACCAAAAAGGAAGAGGCTTGGGGCTGGGGATATAGCTCAGTGGCGTAAGTGTCTGCCTGGCAAGCGCAAGGTCATGAGTTCGATCCCTGGTACCTCAAAAAAAAAGAAGGAAGAGGCTTTAAGAAGAAGATCTTAGAACTCCTGTGAACATGAGCATTGTGGCTCAAGAGATGAACTGGAAAGTGCAAGAGTTAAGAACAAAATTGAATGATTGTTCAATAAAATGAGCTATTATTGTTATGCAAATATAATATTAAACAATATGCTGATGTTTATATTTATTTAAGATATCACTTGAAGGTGTTTATCAGGGTGTCAAACAATACTAGGATTCTTATGCCGCAATAAAGTGGCCCTTGGATGTGCCAGTGAGTAGATTCTGTTAAGGCTCAGTTTTAGGTAAAATAATTTAGAATGTAGACAACCTAGGATTAGATTAAATCCTTCCTTAGTCACTCTACAGGTGAGTAGACCTGTGAACTTGAGCGAGCAGCTTGACCTTTCTAGGCTTGCTTCTCTATGGAATTAACAAATACAGGTCATTCCCTGAAGAATTATGGTCCCATTCACTGTAAAAATCTTCGAAACTGCACAGAACAAAAAGAATCTGGAAGAATATGGAGCAATATATGCTGTGGGATTAGCTAGGTAACCAAGTGTTGTGGTTCATATCCAGATGTCCCCCAGAGCCTCGTGTGCTTGTAGGCAGGGCTTTTGGAAGAGGCCCGGAGCAGGAAGACCTTATGGAGGACTTGCTCTCAGGAGGTGGGGCCTGGTCAGGGAGGTGGGTCACCGGTCGTGAGCTGGAGGGGTGTATCTCCCTGTCCAGCTCCTCTCTGCTTCCTGGTTGCCGTGGTGTGAGCCTTTTCCTCCACCATTTCTGTCTGCCATACTGTTTCTTCTTTGGTGCTGACCAACCATGGACCGAAAAGTGAGCCAAGATAAACCTCTCCTCCTTTCAGTAGTGGGTGTGGGTCTCAATGAGACAGTGACCGAGACACCAAGGGTTCTAGATACTGAAGTAAGCAGAGCTTTCTTAACTAGGTGGGGACTTCAAAGCAGACAACATCCAATAGGATCAATTCAGAAAAGTGGGCTGGTGGGTCTCATCAGGGTTGCACTTGTTTTGACCTCTGTCAAGCTCTGGGCAGATGAGAGAAGGCAGCATGATGGGAAGCCATCGACAAGACTTTGGCCTCTATGTCCACCTCCCTGTGCAACTTGATTGGCAGTACCTTTTTCCTGTTTGTTGTCCTAGCACCTTATCTCCATACCAGCAAACCTGTGTAGGTAAACACACACACGTCCACAGTCCCACCGCACAGAGCCACAGATACACACAGACTCTGAAGTACAAGCGTAAATGCCATGGAACAATCTTACACAGACCCCCGACAGACACCACGCAGACAGTACAGACGTGTTCGTACAGTCACATGCACATAGAACTGAGTACATGTGTTCTAAGTCACATGTGTGTCCTGAATTCAGCTTTATTCTCTCTGTAAACAACTGTTCTGATATGATTATAAATCCCTGAGAATCACAGGTGTGTAAGGGTGCCATTTCCTTATTTGAAGATTCAATTTTGCTACAGCAAACTTGATCAATAAGGCCGTGGGAGAACTGGCCTTATGAATTACAGGTACCTGGAGTGAATGAGCTGCCTGTCGTGAATACAGTGATACCTTGATTTGCGAATAGCTCCAAGCTTGAACTTTCCACCACCAAGGTTTGAAAAATACCTGCTTGGCACTCATAACTTTGTTCAATGCTTGATCTGAGGGTCAAATCAAAATGGGCAAGGAGTGAGTCTGGCTTCCGGTCTCCCCACGGACACAAAGGGGTGACGCTTCTGTCTAAGCGCTGCTCTCACCCAGACAACATGCAGTGCTTGTGTTAGTGTGTTCTAACGCGTGCCATTGTGTTTTTTTGTATTTTATTTACATAAACTGTTGTAACAATGGCTCCAAAGAAAGTTAGTGATACCAGCAGTAAAGCTAGCAGGAAAACTGAGAACCACGATGAGTTAAAGACAGAAATCATTGCAAAATTTGTTAAAAAATCTCAGAAAAGTGAATTTACAAGTGTAATTTTTGGGCTTCAGAACCAAGCATTTGCTTTTCCATTACTTCTCATGGGAAAAATATGTTTAGTTCTTGAACTTTTTGGTGTTTGCATATGAATTTGGAACAAATTGAGTTTGACAACCGAAGTATCTCTCCATAACATAGCTACCAGGTAGACCCAGGAGTGAATAGAATGCTGGCTCACTTAAAATACCTATCTTAGTATTTATAGTGCCTGTCATTTGAGTACTTGAGATTCTGGTGATCCTAGGCTAAGGGATATAACCTGCAGTTGGAATCCAGTAAGCTAATGAAACTCACCCTTGTGACTTCTCTAACACTTAAATAACTGATCACTCACCAGAGAATTTAATGCATAATTCTAATATCGTGATGACACTCTCACAGGAACTTGGTACTTACCATTTGCCAAATAGGTGCTTTGAATGAAAAGGTAGCTGCACCAAGCTCAACTGATAGTAGAAGCAGACCGAGCACTGCGAGACAGGAGCTGAAGCTGTTCATTATTATCAGGTACGACATCTGCAACAGAAAAACAGCACCAGATGGCCATTGGAAGCTAGTGCAATTCACCTCCGTTAAGTACATGGCAGTAGAACATTTATGTACACTCGGATCCTTCCAGAACAGTAAGATCTGTAAGGAAATTGTCAGAACTGCAGATTTATTAGCATCTGAACAGTTTTGGAGATCATAAAACTCTGTTGCAACACGCACATGTCACTTAGCTGAAAAATAACCTATTGAATGCCTATTCTGTACCATGGAAGCCAAGCTCTGTGTTAGCAGGTTGAGAGTCAGGAAACAAATGCTCTCTGCTTTCAAAAAATTTTCAGAAAATTTGAGAATGACAAAGCGCCTATTAAATGTGAATAGAATGTAAAGAAAAACTGCTCACAATATAGGCAAATACACAGTGCTCTACTGCTTGAGATGAATAGAGAGCTAATGTTCTAGGAGTTTTTATGGCTTATTTTGGAGAGACAGCATGTCAGTTGCAGGGAATTTTGTGGGAAAAGCGCAGGCTATCTTGCTAGACACTTGGGTTTTATCTTGAGGATGGTGGGGAACTACATGGCTGGCATTACTTACTCTGTGTTCAGGCCACATTTTTGCCAAACGGTGTACTCCAGACAGTATCTCTTTATAATGCTGCTACATTCCTGCCCTTTGTCTGTAGTTGAGGCCAGGGAGGTAGTAAGTATGACATTGCTACTGAGACCCTTCTCTTACACTTCCTTCCTTATCCAGATCTGCACTGATATATTCCTTTCTAATAAGAAATAGATAAAAAGTATGAGAGTTTAAATCACTAGATTCTGAAACCTGTTTCACTGCATGAAGCATATATTTCTCTATTGTTATTGCAGGTTGACCATGATCTCAATTAATTTGTTATTTTTTGGAGTGTACCAGAGGGTTAGAAATTGCATGGTTTCTTCTTTCCGCTTTTCACTGCTGCGCGTTTGCAGCACGGCGTGTTCACATGCCCTGTGAGGAGGCGGCCCGTGCACACGACCGTCTTCATTCCCCTTCCCTGCCCTTTCCTTCCTCGAGCTCCCCTCCCTCCATGTTTTGATCCACTTCCCCTTTGACAGAGACCTGTTTGCAACAAATCTCCATGAAAGAAAGAAAACCAAATTAACATGAAACATTCTCTTTTTATTTTAAGGAGAATAGTAAAAAAAATAGCAAAATACAAACAAAACAAAGCAACAACATTAAAAATGATATGGGGTTTCAAACCAAATGATAGGGATTAACAGTGGTTGTTATATTACATGTTGTTGTCTTCAACGAAGTTGCTCAGATTACCAGATGTAAGAATGCAAGATTGATCAAACCATTTAAGAGAATAAGAAAACAATAACTTAACAAAACATTACAGACAATACAGAGTTTCACTAGACAGGATGGTAGGAATTCACCAATGGTTTTATATTGCATATTGTTGTCTTCATATCAGTTGCTCAGATTACCAGATATAAGCACTGCCCCTCAGACAAAGGACTTCTATCTAGGACATATAAAGAATTTCAAAAAATCAAGTCCTCAAAACTCAAAGACCCAATCCAAAAACGGGCATTTGAGATGAATGCACACTTCTCAGAGGAAAAATTACTAATGGCGAATAAATATATGAGAAAATGTTCAAGATCATTAGTCATTTGAGAAATGCAAATTAAAACAACACTGAGATTCCAGCTCACGCTGAGAAGAATGGCTATCATCAAGAAATCAGCCAATAACAAATGCTGGAGAGGCTGTAGGGGAAAAAGGAACACTTCTTCAATGCTGTTGGGAGTATAGGTTGGTGAAACCACTGTGGAAATCAGTTTGGAGATTCCTCACAAAACTAGGATTAGAAGTCTTACTTAACCCAGCTTCTGGGTATTTTCCCAGGAGAATTAAAGGGTATTTTCCCAAAAGAATAAAAATTTATTCTTATAATTGAAATATCTCTTCTTATAATAGAAATATTTATTCTAATAATATTCTATTCTTATAATTTATTCTTACAATTGAAATATCTAACATTCTTGCTTAGTGAATTGTAGTACTATATATTACTGTAATTTAGTCTTTAAAATGAAGTATTTACTACAATTTTAATTATGTGGACAAATACTCATTCCAGAATAATCTCTTTTTGTTTAGAAAAAGAGCCTTGTTAAGCAAAGACATCAGTAAGGCCTCCTGGAGTGGGTGTGTTGTCTGGCAACAATTTACCTGAATAATAAGCAAATCATTTATTTTGCTTCCTGGCAGGAGTGTGATAGGCCACAATCCTTAGGAAGACAATTTGGTAATTTCTTAAAAAGTTAAATATAATATACATATAGGGTTCAGATTAAATATACATATAGGGTTCAGGTACTTACTCAAGAAAAATGAAGGCATGTATATGTGTAAAGACTTGTACACGATTTGTCATAGTAAATCTTGGAAACAACCCAAATGTCTATCAACCGAAGAATGGATAAAAACGATGTGGTATTTCTATACAATGGAGTACTATTCAGCTATAAAGAAAGATAAACTCAAGCCTTTTATAGGGAAATGGATGCAACTAGAGACCATACTCATAAGTGAAATAAATCAGACTTGCACATGTAAACATTGGATTGTCTTCCTAGTGTAAAAACCTGAAAGAATAAATAAGATCCAAAAGGTACAATAGATATTGTGAAAGGGAAAGAAACTGCTCAGAAAGAAAGCACAACTGGGATGGGGGAAGGAGAAAAGAAGGAAGGGGAAAAAAAATATATATACACACACAAGATAGCTAAGACAATTGCGCTACTAATTTCTATTGGTTTATTGAAAGGAACAGTGTTTATATTGTTTGATCAATCTTACATGCCTATATCTGGTAATTCAAGCAACTATTTTGAAGATAACAATATGCCATATAATAACCATTGTTAATTCCTATCATCTTGTTTTGAAATTCTGTATTGTTTTTATTATTTTTTTATTCTCTTTAAAATAAAAAAAGAGAGGAAAGAAAAAGACCTTTGCAAGAATGTTCAGAGTAGCTTTGCTTGTAAGAGCTCAAAACAAAGCAGCATAAGTGCCTTCAGTGGGTCAATGGGCAGACAATCTGCTGTAATCCATCTGTGGAATATGACTCCAGAATTAAAGAGGGTTTTTGGATACTCTCTAGTCTGGGTGGATCTCATGTTTTTATATGGTTGCATTCCTTAGCCAATTATCGTACCTGTTGTTTTACTTTTTCTTTAAACCTTTATGCTAATGACACTAGGGATTTACACAGCCTATTACTGTATCAGAATATATTAATCTTCTAACCTTTACACAGATACTGCTGATTTACACAGCGTGCAGCAGATATTTTGTTCCTGCAGTGGGAAAGTCGGCTATTATAGTAAATAAAATTTTGTGCCTGTCATTTTGTTAACTTTTTGTTTGTTTTGACTTTCTTTTCTCTGTCTTCCATTTCTGTTCATCTGTGTGGTTTTGTGGTTACCATGTTGATACTGGACTTCTGTGCAAGTTCTTTTCCAGTGGACTTTTATAATTTCACGTGTTTTCACCATCGTAGATGTTTTTCTTTGCTTCTGGCTGTAAAACTAAACATTTTTTTGTAGGGTCAGTTTTGCTTGTCTTGGAAAGTTTATATGCCTTCTTTATTTCTGAAGGATGCCTTTGACAGGTAGAGTTCTGTTTGCTTGCAGTTTTTTTTAAAAAAGCTTGCAATATGTCATCCAATTTCCTCTTGGCAACCTGCTAACCTAATGAAGCTTCCTTTAAAGGTGACTCGGCTCCTCCCTGGCAGTTCCTAGGATTCCGAGGTTTGCGCTCTTGCCAGTTTGGCCGAACACGCTCTGTCAGGGCTCTGTCTGGGGCTCCTGTACATGGAGGTGCGTATCTTTCCCAAGACTGTGGAAGTGTTCAGCTATGACTTCATGGAAGAGGTTGTCTATGCTTTTACCTTCCCTTTCACTTGCATGTACCCCTAAAATTCAAAAGTTTGTTCCCTTTATTCTGTCCCATACATTCTGGAGGCCCTATTAATTTCTCTATCTTTCTTTCCTTTTGTCTGACGAGGGTATATTAAAAGACCTGTCTTTCACTTCAGATACTCTTTCTTCCACCCGATCCAGTCTGTTGAGATTTCAACTGGTTTTTTGAACTTATTGAGATCTTCATTTCCAACATTTCTGTTCGTTTCTCTTTCACAATCTCTTGGACCTTTTTGCTGAGCTTCTCACTCATATCATGACTTGTTTTCCTAACTTCATCGAATTGTCGGTAATCTCTTGAATCTCAGTGTGTTTCTTTGTACTTATTCTTTCCGATTCTTTATCAGGCAGTCCCACAGGGTGGCTGGCATCTTTCGCTAGGGTGCTGCTGTGTTCGGTCGGTGGTGTTGCCTTGTCTGACACACTCCTGCGGGTCCCAGGACAGCACACGTTTCATGGCGTGCTGGCAGTGCAGTGTGGCCCCCCGTGTGTTAACTGTGCTGTAACTGTCTGGACTCTAGGGGTTGGGGGCAGATAAGGAACTTCTCTGGGTCAAAGATGCTGTGCAGACTCCAGGTGGCTTCCCTACGTGGAACTGTGATGTTGGTGAACTCTTGTAGAGTTGGGGTGCCGAGGTCTACTGCAGTGGAAGCCACTGAGACTCTCCTGCTCACCCTGCCCTTGTGCTGAGGAGCTGTCTTGCCAGAGAGCCATGGTGTAGTCACGATACGCTTCGTTCTGTGCCTTATACCACCGTCTCAATCCCGCATGGTTTCCTACCTCCCCTTGGCTGGGCTCCAGCCCTACTTGGCTCACAAGTGAGCTGCGGATCGGTTGTCATGGTTTTTGTGTGCGTGGCGGAGGCAAGTTCTGGGAACCTCGTCTCACCACCTTGTATAGAAGTTGTCAGAGCCTTTCCAAGCTCCCTACGGTTGTTTTCAGAAATTTATTATGCAGTTCTGCTCAGGCTCTTATTCACCTGAATTCACAGCCTTATCTAGGTGCACCAGCATCAGCAGATCGGCGTTGCTCTAGCTGCCGAGGGGCAGGGCGTTGTTTTCATGGTGAACAGAAATCTGTGTCCCTGCAAATAGCTACAATATCCTGGGAACAGTAATTTTCCAGGGAGCTGCAGGTTCCGAAAAAATATTGCATGTGCTTAGAAGGGGTGGGTTACAGCAGAGGATGACACTATGTCAGCTTTCCCTGTTGGCTGCAGTATCTCCAGCTTTTCCATGCTGTTGAGCTGAGGAGCGAGAGGAGATAGGAACAGCCCCACGTTAAAGCCTGACAGACCCTTCTGTCTTTCTGAGGTTTAGTAGCATCTCTTGAGGGGAGGACTTGCAGTTTCTGCTGTGGTCTTGAATAATTTATAGTCTTCTGAAATACTTAACTTTGGTTGTTCTCCCAGTGTTTTCCTTTTCTTGGAATAAATTTCATGGATACTCTCCTCCACCATCCTACATATCAACCTCCTGGTGTTAATGCACATAATTATTCTAACTTCTTCCATAATTATTCAAACTTCTTCCATATCGATGGCCAGCGCCACAAAACTCGAGACGTTGTAGAGAAAGTCAGTGCAGTCCACACTCTTCACAACGCCTTACTCAGGCTCCCTCATAACAATGAAAAGTTCTCTTTTCGAGTTTTTATTAGTGCATGATTGCGTTCATGGTGGGAAGTTGGTGCGCGGACCCCGCATGCCTTCACTGCTTTTTCGTACCCTCTCTCGCCCTCCAGCAAAAGCTCTTAGACATGTGAGAAAGCCAAGAAGGGAAAAAGGAAGATGGTAGTAAGACACATCGGATCATCTCAAGATAGCCACCCTTACAAGTCACAACTGATGTTTTTCTCCTTTGGTGTTGAGGATCAAGGTCAGGGCTTTGTAGGCCAGAACTTCTCTACTACTGAGGCCAGCACTTCTCTACTACTGAGCTATGTCCCTAACCACAACTGACAATTAATGTGCACTCATTTGTCATATAGAAGTTTAACATACTGACCTACTTTCTAAATTATCTTACACAGTTCCTAAATTACCTTCATGATGAATGAAATCCAGCAAAGGTTTCTGTTGCTGTGGTGTGTACTTTTATTATGGATGGAAATGCAGAAACTAACGTTCTTTAATATTTTAAATATCTATCCTCCTAAAATTTTGAGATGTCTCGTGACTCAGATAATGCCAACTCCCCACCAACTTTCCTCTTATTGCCATGGAAACCGGAGGCACTATGCGCATTCTGACTCACCATGAACCTTGTGCGCCTTCTCTCTGCTAGTATTGCAAGGACTCCTGAGACCAGGTACTGGAAACAAAGAAATTTATGAAGACTCAGTTATTGTGTCTATATAAAACTTAAAAGATAAGAGAATTCTGTAGTGCTGACAAACGTTTTACTTTTTCAGTGGGACTGTGAGAAAATTGTTGAAATAATTCAAAGGTTTTCTCTTTACAGAGCTGGGGGAAAGCTATGATGTCTCTACATGACTGGAAATGGATTCTAGAAAGTACTTTGAATGACTTTATGATCGGAGAAGTACCAAAAACCTACTTGGTTGTTGTCAATCATAATTTATTAAGCCCAAACGGTGAATAACAAGATGATATTTCCAATGAATGTACTATTTTATGATATTATTTCTTGGTCAACTCATATGCAAGTGGATTTAATATAGTGTGGACATACTTTATTAATTAAAAACATCATTCAGAAAACACTCAAGCTCCAGTTTACACATTTAAATGTAAGAAGCACATAGCACAAATTCTACACAAAAGGTAAAAGGATTAAGGTTCTAGATTAGAATACAAAAATGTCTTCCTGAACTTAGGTAAAGGAAAAACTTATTTTGTAGGAAACTGATCTACCCTGGGCTATGTCCCTGTGCAGGAGTTCCATGCAGGAAGCTGGTCCTGCTAGTTTGTCATCCTGACAGGGGTGAAGGAGGACGAAAGAGACACAGATGCGGAGTCAGTTTAGCATGTGGCCGCCAGGGGGCTCTTGTTTCTAGTGGGCAGAGGAGCCTGAGTGTCTGGCTCATCCTGCTTTTACTCACCCAGACAACGGTACAAGCAATTAAAGTAGCACAAGACTCATCTGCCTTCCATTATCCATTACTACGTGCCCAGGTAAGCGATTTGGTCTTAGCTATATTGACTATTCCCTTGAGCTCACAGAGGAGGCCAATTAGGTCTCCGTTCTCCTCAACTGGTCTCCCACATTATTTGATTACATACAAAAGTGCTATCCATCAAGGAAAAGATTGTATGAAGTTAAACTAAAACTAAGAACTGATTTAGTTGAAAGATATCTTCAGCAGTGCCAAGAGCTTTGCTGCTGCCTGTAGACTGATATTTTCCCAGCCATTATTGGTAGGGAAAAAGATACTGGCAGAATAGAAAAGACATTTAGAGCTTTTATCCAGAATCTATAGAGAAATTCAGCAAATCAATAGGAGAAAAAGAGGCAGTCCAATAGACATATGGGAAGAAATTTGTACATGCCTCATAACAAAAACAATTTACAAAAGAGGATGTCAGAATAGCCAACAAAAGAATGAAGAAGTACTCAAAGTCATTAGTTAATTAATTAAGACTTTGGACTTTTATGTACATATATGTTAATGAAAAATTAAAAAAAAAGAAACAGTCAGAAGATGGAGGGCTGTGAGCAGTCTGCACTCATAAGTCTCTTGGCATATCTGTCCAAAACAACAGATTTAGACAGGGTTGGGTCCGGAGGCCATCCTATGAGCTCTCGTCCCCTTTACCTTGGTAGAACAAACAGGAAACAGACTTGAATTAGGGCAGGCAGTCATTTTGAGTATCCCTCTGCCTAAGCTCAGAAAATCCCCATGTTTTCCATAATTATAAGATTATGGATTAATTATAAGATTATAATTATGATTATGGATTATAATTAGTAATTATAAGATTAACTGCCACCATGCTAGAGGAGAGAAATGGGCATTCTAATAGGGTGGACCCAGGAAAGAGGTGACGGCAATATGACAGAACTAGGAGAAAGCCCCCAGCTCCTGGTTCAGCTCCTGAACTCTGTCCCGGGAGAATCTCAGGTGGACAGTGTGGACAGCAATAGTTGGAATGTGAATTCAGCTGTGTGGGGTTTTTGGTGGGAGAGGGGTGTGAGTCTGAGGGCACCCTTGATGCCACCAGCAGAAGGCTGGCACCTACAGCCCCTCATCAAATGCAGACCCTGTGGACCCCTTGCCCTTCAATCTGCTCCGAGGCACTGAAGATAAACACAGCAACATGCAGACACTGGCCAACCATGCTGCCAGAAGTGTGGTCTGCAAGCACACAGAGCTTTGGCCCGTGCTCTGCACCCGTCCGTGGGATGCGCAAGTGACTGAGTGGACAGCCCAGATTTTCCAACATCATTGATGAACACAGATGCAAAAATCTACTATAAAATATTTGCAAACAGAACTCAGCAACACATCAAAAATATCATTCACCAGAACCAAGTTAGTTTCATCCCAGGGGTGCAAGAATGATTCAACGTATGCAAATCAGTAAATGTAATATACTACACAAATAAAATCTAGGATAAAAATCACACGATCACTTCAATAGATGTGGTAAAAGCTGTCAAAACCCAAGAGCCCCTTATGATAAAAACCCTGATGAAAATAGGTGTAGAAGTATCTTAAACAGATAACAGCCATTTATTATAAACCCACAGCCAATATTACATCAAATGGGGAAAAACTAAAAGCATTTTTTGGGGCTGGGGATTTAGCTCAGCGGCAAAGCACAAGGTTGTGAGTTCGGTTCCCGGTACCAGAGAAAAACCAAAACCAAAAAAAAAAAAAAAGCATTTTTCTAATATTAGGAATGAGACAAGGGTGTCCACTTTCACCACTCTTGTTTAAACATAGTACTTTTGAAACTTTAGCCAGGGCAATTTTTAATATTTATACCAATATAAATTTTAAGAAAGTTTCATATTTTTGTACTCTTGCCACAGTCCCACGGTGCTTGAATCATGTTTTCTGCCACTTCATCTATTTATTTTTTAATTTTTTTTTCCGGTACTGGGAATCGAACTCATGACCTTGCACTTGCCAGGCAGGCGCTGCGCTGCTGAGCTAAATCCCCAGCCCTGCCCCTTGATTTAAAATGTGGCCACTTTATTTGCTTTGGTTGGGATGTTAGTGGGCCCAAGCTGAGATTCAAGGTGCTCTTGTGTGGATAGGCTCGCCTCTTATAGTCTTGCCTTTCATCTTGAGAAGAATATGCCTGCTGTAGCTACCGGTCTGAGAAGGGTGAGATATATATGGAACCGAGCTAGAGCCAATCTGTAGCTTGCAGCCAATTCTGCCTAATTTCAGCCTTGGTCAGCTGAATTTCTTCCAATAGTGTATGAGCAGGAGACAGATGCTGGGGGTCCTGTGCCATGGGTTTTGTGGGGTTTGTTATACAACAGAGATTAGCAACCAAGTCACGTTTTCATAACCGTACTGCAACTATACAATTTAAAACAATCACCTATATTCCTTTATCAGAAATTTCCCCAGAAATTTCAGTCCCTCCTACCCTACTCTTCATTTCTGTGTTCTTCTACCACCTTATCATCTCCTAGTATATAACCTCTTGCCAAAGTAACATCTGCATCAAGACTTGCGTTGGTTTTGTTTGTGATGTTTCCCAAGCCCCTTCCAGAGCAATTACCAGTGGGGCTGTCAGCAAGCACTGGTCAAGTGACCAAACTTCACGTGAATTATTATGACCCTTATTATTGTGAGTTTCACTGGGGATTTGGTGAGGGACAGGGACCCATCACCTACCAAAATGCCCTTCCTTTAAGAATATCCTCACTTAAGGACAAGGGCACATTATCATCGTTCTATCAGATACACCAAAATTATAAATTTCTGTTCAATTTCATCAAGTCTTTCTCAGACCCATGCAGCACAAAGATTTTATCTTTCTTTTTCTACCTCTGTCTCTCATTATTGCTTCATCAACTGTGCTTTCTCTTCTGGCTTGCCTCATTGGCAGAATGTGTGCTCCTCATATGTAGGTGACAGGACAGGCATCGGCAATTTTCTGTCTTCTCAAAATGCCCCTTGGGCACCCTCCCATTGGTGCTAATGGAAAGAGTGTCTTTGTACTGAAATAGACTTATTATGAGAGAATGTTACTGATAAAAATCTAAATTTTTTTCATATTGGATTAGTTCTTTTCAACAAGATATAAGAATGGATTACTTGAGAATGGGGGTTTTGTACTTCTGGTTCCTTTCTTTGGCACACTGCCTGAGCCATAGTCATCAGATGAAATGAAAAAGTGCAATTCACCAATCAAAAGAAACAGACTGACAGAGTAGATCAAGAAGCAAGATCCATGAGGTTTATCACTATTTTATATTTTAGTACTCTTGTAAATGATGTGTTTGTCTCCATGAAGTGGAAGTACAATAACAAATGTTTATTAAAAAGAAACAAGAGCCAACAATGTGCTGCGTTCAAGAAACACATTTAACCCAAAAAGCTATGCATAGACTAAAAGGCAAAGGGTGGAAAACAATTCTCCATGCCATAGAACCCAGAAAAAAGCAGAGGCAGCTGTTCTATTTGTGGATAGTGTAAACTTTAAGGGAAAACTGATCAAAAGGGACAAAAGTCACTACATACTTGTTAAGGAAAGCTCCAAGAAAAAGAGATAATAATGAAAATATATATGCACCAAACACTGGTGCACCCAATTATATAAAATAAGTTTTAACATAAATGAAAAATCAAATAAGCACTAACACAGTTGTACTGGGGGACCTTAATAACTCACTCTCACAAATAGATTTAGACGAAAAATCAACAAAGAAATATCAGAATTAAACCAGGTTTGTGAACAAATGAACTTGGTAGATGTCTACAGAGTGTTCCCTCCCAAAACATCAGAATACACATTTTTTCAGCTGCCACATGGGATGTTCCCCCAAATAGACCACATATTAGACCCCAAAATATACTTAAGTATATGTAAAGGAATTGAAATCATCTCAAACATACTATCTGACCAGAGCACAATGAAATTGGAAATCAATGACAAAAGCAAGCACAAATACTATATAAACAAATGGAAATTAAGCAACACCCCTCTGAACAATCAATGGTTCACAGAGGAAAGTAAAGATGAAATTAAATAATATATTCAATTAAAAGATATTGCCAATACAACATACCAGAACTTATGGGACACAGTGAAAGCTGACCTATGAGGGAAGTTTATAGCAAAGAACTCTAAAATCAGGAAAACAGAATGAGCTCAAGTAAACAACCTAATGTTGAACCTCAAACTTCTAGAAAAAGAACAAATCAAACCTAAAGCTCATACAAGTGCTCGCTCTGGCAGCACATATACTAAAAAAAAAAAAAACTGATATAAGGGAGAAAATTACAAAGAGCAGAAATTAATGCAATTGAGACTAAGAAAACAATACAAAGAATCATAAATCAGAAAGTTGGTTCTTTGAAAGAATAAATAAAATTGATAAATCATTAGCTAATCTCATAAAAAAGAGGAAAGAAAAAGCACAAATTCTGGCAGTTAGGAATGGAAGGAAAATCACAACTGATCCTACAGAAATCCAGAAGGCCATCAATGCCTGCTGTGAAAACCTATACTCTAATAAGATGGAAAACACAGAAGAAAAGGAGAGATTCCTAGACACAAGCTAATTGCCAAAACTAAATCAAGAAGCTATGAAAATTCTAAGTAACTCAGTATCAGCAAATGAAACTGAATATGTAATTGAAAATTTAACAACAAAGAAAAGCTCACTGTTGAATTCTAAAAGAAATTTAGAGATGAACTAATGCCACTCATGCTGAAACTCTTTAACGAAATTGAAAGGGAAGCTGGACTTCCAAAATCATTCCTGGAAGCAAGTATTACCCCTATCCCAAAACCAGAGAAAAACCCAACCAAAAAAGAAAACTACAGGCCAATCCCCCTAATGAACACAGATGCAAAAATCCTCAATTAGATACTGGCAAACAGAATGCAGCAAATCATCAAAAAGATTATACCCCATAACTAAGTAGGATTCATCCCAGGGATGCAGGGATGGTTCAGCATCCATAAATCAATAATGTCATACACCATACTAACAGAACCAAAGACCAAATATCACATGGTCATCTCAATAGATTCAGAAAAAGCATTTGACAAAGTCCAACACCCATTCATGATAAAAACTCTACAGAAAATTAGAATAGATGGTCTTTACCTCAATCTGATAAAAGTCATCTATTACAAACCAATAGTTAGCATCATAATAAATGGTCAAAAACTGAAAACTTTCATGCTAAAGTCAGGAACAAGAAAAAGATGTCCAGTATCACCACTCTTATTCAGTATAATTCTGGAAACATTAGCTAGAGCAATTAGAGAAGAGAAAAAAATAGGATAGGAAAGGAAGAAATTATATTATCATTATTTGCAGAGATACTGTATGTGGGCGACCCAAAAACTCCACCAAAAGACTTCCTAGATTTAATAACCAAATTCAGTAGAGTAGCTGGATACAAAGTCAGCACTCAAAAATCAATAGCATTCCTGCACACAAGCAACAAAGTCACACAAAAAAATTAGGGAAACCAAACCCTTTACAATAGCACTCAAAAAATGAAATACTTAGGAATCAATCTAACAAAGGAAATAAAAGATCTGCATATTGAAATTTACAGTACTGTGAAAAAGCAGATTGAAGAGAATATCTGAAAATAGAAAGATATCCCTTGCTCATGGATAGGAAGATCCAACATTGTGAAAATGGCCATACTCCCAAAATTGTTATACAGATCTAATGCAACCCCAATCAAGATACCATTAGTATAGCTCACAGAACTAGAGAAAATATCCCTACAATTTATTTAGAACCGGAAGAGACCTGGAATAGCAAAAGCAACTCTTGACAACAAATGCAAGTTAGAGGACATCACAATCCCTAATGTGAAATTATACCACAAAACTACTGCGATAAAATCAGCATGATGTTAACAAAAAATACACCTGAGGATCAGTGGAACAGAATAGAAGATGCAGACACAACTCCAAACATACTCAGCCACCTTATCTTTGACAAAGGAGCCAAACACGTTCACTGGAAGAAAGATAGCCTCTTTAATAAGTAGTGCTGAGAAAACTGGCTTTCCACATGCCAAAGACTGAAACTAGACCCATGTCTATCACCATGCAATAAACTGAAGTCAAAATGGATCAAAGATCTAAATATTCAAACACAAACACTAAACCTACTGGAAGAGAAAATAGGTAGAAATCTTGAAGACATAGGTGTAGGCAGAGACTTCATGAACAAAAGCCAGACTGCAGGGGAAATACTTCAAAGAATCAAATGGGATCTCATCTTATTGAAAAGCTTTGGTGCAAAAAAGAAAACACCAACAGAGTGAAAAGACAACTCACAGACTGGGAAAAATTACAGCAAATTGTCCCTCAGACAAAGGACTTATATCTAGAACATATGAAGAATTGAAAAAAAATTAGGCCTCCCAAATTCAAAGACCCAATCCAAAAATGGGCATCTGAGATGAATACATACTTCTCAGATGAAGAAATACAAATGGCAAATGTATATATGAAAAAATGTTCAACATCATTGGTCATCCCAGAAATGCAAATTAAAACAACACTGAGATTCCATCTCAACCCGGAAAGAATGGCTATCATCAAGCAATCAACCAATAACAAATGTTGGAGGGGCTGTGGGGAAAAAGAATCCTTCTCCACTGCTGGTGGGAGTGTAGACTGGTACAGTCACTGTGGAAATCAGTGTGGAGATTCCTCAATAAACTGAAATTAGGGGTCTCATTTGAAACAGCTATTCCCCTTCTGGGTATCTTCCTGGAAGAATTAAAAACATCATACCACAGTGATACATGTGCACCCATGTTTATAGCAGCACAATTTGTCATACTAAATCCTGGAAAAAATCCAAATGCCCATCAACTGGTGAATGGATAAAAAATATTTTTTTTTAATGTGACAGAGTACTACTCAGCCATAAAGAAGGATAAACTTGAGACTTTTACAGGTAAATGTATGCAAATCAAGACCATACTCATAAGTGAAATAAATCGGACCTACATGTGTAAACATTATATTGTCTCACTAGGGTGAGACCCTGAATGAGTCAGTAAGATCCAAAATGTACAATAATTTTTATGAATTGGGAAGAAACTGTTTGAAAGAAAAGAGAAACTGTGGTGGGGGAAATGGGAAAGGAAGGAAGTGAAAAAGGAAAAAAATATATACACAAGACAGTTAAGATAGTTACACAGGTAGTTTCTCTTAGTTCATTGAAAGCAAAGGTTTGTGTTAGTATTGTCTGGACAATATTTCACGCCTATATCTTGTACTCTCAATAACTACTATGGAGATAATAATATGCAGTGCATTAATTATTGTTATCCTTCTATTAGCCTTTTTTGAAACTGTTTTATTTTTATTTTTAATGTTCTTCTCCTGAAAATAAAACAGTGAAGAAGTTAATGAACAGCCATCAGTAATTACATTTTTTACTCACCCAAAACGGTGACCAGAACGGGTATCCCAGCAGCAGTGCAAGGGGAATGTATATGGTTGACAGCACAGTCAGCTGTGAGAGGAAGAAGAACCTCCAGAGCACCCCCAGCATATTAATAAACATGCTGTTCATTACTTGTATGACCTGGGAGAGAGGAACACGGTCACTCATCATTTCCCGATCCCGTCCAGCTTTTTTAAAATTTTATTTTAAAGAGAATAAAAACACAGTAACAACATAATAACAACCAAGAGAAAAACAAAACAGTGCAAACATGATAAAAATGACACAGGATTTTAAAGCAAGATGACAGGAATTAACAGTGGTTGTTATATTACATATCCTTATCTTCAGCGAAGCTGCTCAGATTACCTTGAAAGGAACATGCATCAAGAAAATGCCAAGGTGAATAAAGGTGATGGTCTCACAAAACCACTGTCTCTCATATGACTATTGTGCATATCAGGGTGAGGAATATGGCCTTGATGTAATAGTGTGTGTGCAGCTGTGTGCCATACGTGTACCTGTGTGTAACCAACCACAATAAGATACAGAACTATCCCATCACCACAAGGATACCCCTCGTGCTACGCCTTCATCCTCACCCTCCCCTCGGCGTCCTTAACTCCTGGTAGTCATCGCTCTGTTCTCCGTATCTGTACTTCTGTTGTTTTGAGAACGTTAGATAAACGGAACAACTTATTAGGCTTCTTTTGAGATTGGCTTTTTGCATTCAGCACTTTTTATTTAGACATCATTATTTTAAGAAAGACTGTTAGGAAGATGAAAAGGCAGGATTCAGGGTGGGAAGTGACACTTGCACACCACATATCTGACAAAAGATTTATATCTAGAAGATTATATTTGAAAACTCAAATGATGCAATTTTCCAATCAGCAAAAGATATAAAGAAACAACTCACTGAAGAGACATACAGATGGCAAATAAGAACATAGGAAAACACTCAGCATCATTAGCCACCAGATGACTGGCAGACTAGAATGAGCTATTACTGCACAACTATCAAAAACAACTCAAATCAGAAATAGTGACCAGGCCAAATGCTGGGCAGTGAAATATAAAATGGCGCAGCCACTCAGGATTTTTTCTCCTATGGGTAGACCATACTTTTAGTGTCATGTCTGGAACTCTTTATTAGATACCAAATATTTCCTCCTATGCTTTCTCCTAAAAATGTTATAGCTTTGCATTTAATAGTTATATCTATCATCCATTTTGAATTAATTTTTTATAAGGTGGGAAATTTAAAAGTTCTCTCTTTTTTTAACCAATGGCTATCCAGTTTGTTGAGAAAACTACACTTCCTCCAGCGAATTACTTTTATCAAAATCATCTGGCTCTGCTTGGGCAGGCTTTCTGACCTGCGTTCTATTCCATTTTTCTATGTGTCTCTTGCTAAAACAATATTGCCCTTGATAAGTGTAGGTATATAATATTTAGGATAAAATGATTTGTAAAGAGATTTTATACACAGTTCCAGGCTCTAGTCATAGTTTCTAAAATTATAAGCAGATTGTGATGGTGTTGGGTTATTGAAACATAGTGGATAGATTCATAATTTCTACTTTATTTAACTTTAATATAGAGCTGATGTGCTCTGGACACAGATGGAAAACAGAGGCTACATAACCCTTGCAGGATTAAGATCTTTAACCTTTCTTTAACCCTTTTAACCTTTCTTTAACCCTGCTGCATTTGGGGAGTCCATGGTGGAGGGGCATCATGGACTTACATGATCCCTTACAAGTTTAGAAATTGTGACACTACAGTTATGTATGCACTCAAGTAACACCTAGTTCTTACCCCCAGCACTCTCAATTCTTTTTTTATCCATAGACGATTTCGTGGCATTTTTCACTAAGATACAACAGAGAAATGAGAGGATGAATGGTCTTTCTTTTCTGTAAGAAAATGTGGAGACAAATTAATCTTCATGATGTCTTTGACAAGGTACCTAAACCTGAGAGAGAGTCTAATTATACACTGCTTGTTTTGTGCTACTCTATGGTTCCCCAATAGACATTTGTGCACCAAATCTCCATTATAATTATTTTGACAAAAATCTCCAAAGTTTGTTCCTTTGCTAACCTTAGACTGAGTCAATGCTATGTGGTGGCTGTCCCAGTCACCTCAGGCCCTCTAGAAGTGACCATATTTCCACATTGACAAGGTCCGAGAACACCGGATTTTGGTCACTATGGCTAATTCTCCTGCTCAGTGGTGCTGTCTTCCCAATGAAAGCCTGGCTGAAGGCGCTGGAGTGTGAGAGTCTGCAGTGCATGCCTGTGTCAGCCACAGGAGAGGCTGGACCATATTATACTCTGCAGAGGTAGGCTTCACAAGTGAGGGACAGTTATAACATGGAGTGTTCAATCGCTAAAAAATTATGGCCCACAGATTCCTATCATTAAAATTGTGGATGACCTTTGTTATTCTGTATAATTCCTACTCATTCCCTCTAGCTTCCATATTTAATATCTATGAAAACGACTCCTAGGTCCTAGCTGATTGGAACAAAGGTAGACCTATCCCTCAAG